CACTCTGATTGACAATGATTTTATGTAAACCACGCTTTTGGAGATCACTGCTTGAAATTCCCGTATTTTCAAATGTCAGAACAAAGTTAGTAGCTTTCACTTCAATTTCAAGTACATTGAGGCTCCCACTTAACACAGTTCTGCCTTAGCCATGCGATAATGTTGTATATGTGTGACCAAACCAACGCCTAGTTTACACTTAAAATGTAGGTTGACATAGCTACATCAGTCAGGGGGTTGAAAAATCCACACCGCTGAGTAATGTACCTATGTTGACATAACCCTCAATTACAGATGCAGCTAGGTCGACAAGAAAATGCTTCTGTCGACCTAACTACCATTACTCAGGGAGGTGGTGTTCCTATACCAACAGAAAAACCCCATCCATTGGTGGAGGTTGTGTCTGCATTATGTGGTTATGCCATTGTAGCTACAATGCCGTAGCTATGCTGGTCTAATCCCCATAGTGTAGACATTTCCCAAGTTAAGGGAACCATACTAGAATGCGAATCTTCCAACTCATTACATCCCTGATTCTGCTAAGTTGATCCCTACCTCAGTTTTGTAACAGTTCCCTGAAGCAAAACTTGAAAATTCGGTTTGTGTTGGGGTTGAGTTTTTTGGTGGGTGTGTTTTTTGGGGGTTGTTTTTCAACTTTGATTTTAAAAAAGTCCTGAAAGTTTGTGTTAGCCTTAAAATATCAAAAATCCAAGTCTTGTCTTCGTTGACTTTTGCTCATGGACTTTTTTTTTTTTTGGATTAATTATTTTTATTTTCCAGAAATATACAAACTTATTCTCTCAGTTCTCCATCTTCTTCTACTCCTCTGATGTACAGGACGTTGTTACATCTTATCAAAACTTCACCAAGGTGTCCTGACAACGCACCATCTATGTATTCTTCCGTGTTTGCAAGCTGCATGTTCATGTAGCCGTCGACAGACACCAGGTAGCGGATCTCAGGATAGATGATGAGCTTTTAGCTTAGTTTAGGAAATAGAGGTATTGAGTTTTTAACAAAGGTTTCCTGTCTCACAAGTGCTCAGTAGGCACTAGAGTTTAAATGAGTGTTAAATTGGAGTTAAAAAATGTCTGTTCCCCTTTCAGTCACTTGGATTTCTTTCATGATGACACTTCACTAGTTTTCCAGTCACCATAGACTTGGTGTACCCTCGACTTTGTTCTCATTTTCTAATTCTTACTATCACTGGTGCAACTCTAGCAGTACTGAGAGCACTTGCTTAGATGGGGCGACTCTTATTCTTGCATTATGTCATTTAGATATACTCTGAGCAGCTGTTGGAAAAAAGATTGTTTGTGGTCTTTGGATGCAAACTGATATAAATACTAAAGTTCTCTCAAATGCAAACTAAACTGGGGGTAAAAAATTCCTAATCTTTCACTTAGCCATCCTGGGCATTACAAGTAACAATAGTAGGTTTAAAGAAAAGAATTAGACAGATGTGACTGTATCCTTTAAATAGAATTGTAACAGTTGCTGTCTTAGTCCTCTTAAATAAGGACACACTTGTCCTTTAATCCACATAATATGCATAAGACTTTTCTATCCTCTGTATTATTAAAAAAAAGGTGTATTAGTGAAGAATATTGTCTTATTTTTGGCCTCAGTAGGTCTCATCAAATCCAGTTACTATACCAATATATATACACAAGGGTAGCCCTGAAAGGAGTTATTAAATGTGCCATATTGTCCTTGTATCTTACCTGTACATTCCAAGTGCTCTGTGGGGACTAGATATTCTATTTTTTCATGAAAGTGATATTTACTGGCTTTGCATCTTGCCCTTTACTCAGCTGAAGTATTTATAGATTTCTAACTTTTAAGCCATGAAAATGTGCCTAGAATATGCTGTTGTCTGAATTCCATCTTCACCTGATTGGGAATAGTGTGTTTGAGCAATTCTTAAATCTACACAAACTCTTTCTTATTAGACCATTCAGCATGGACGACTAAGTGAACAATGGTGGGGCTGTAGTCAGAGCAGTGCTTAGTCCAGTAAAATTGAAGGGGTGCAAGTGAGGCTGAAATGATCAGTAGTCAAGACTCTAACTTTGAGCTGTGTAATGTACAGAAATGACCTGGGTAAGGAGAAAAGACTCTAAAGCTAGAGACACAAGGAGGAAAATGTAACTTGAAGTCCACAAGAACTGAAACTCTTACCTTCTTAGAGGTAATATAAGGTTGAAGCATATTGTCAGGAAGTTTGCCCCATTGCTGTCACATCGGTTGTGGTAATGGATTTGGGTAGATAGGGTGGCTGTCATTCCAGCCCAGAGAATGGACTCTCAGGGTACGTCTTCACTAGCAATGCTGAATCGCTGCCACAGCAGCACTTTAACATGGCTTGTGTAGTCGCCGCGGCATAGTGCTGGGAGAGAGCACTGGGAGCGCGGTCTACACTGGCACTTTACAGCACTGAAACTTGCAGCGCTCGGGGGTGTTTCTCACACCCCTGAGCGAGAAAGTTGCAGTGCTGTAAAGTGCCAGTGTAGACAAGCTCTCAGGTTAAAGAAGTGGGGGAGGAAAATCTATACTTTATATAAAAGCATCCTTGTAACTGGAATATTTATTTCCCTTTGGTTTTTTTTCATAGCTTTTTCTGACTCTCTTAAAATGGCCATCTTCAGGACACATCTTCTGACGCAGCAGCAAACAAGCTAAAAACCCAAGTAGAAGTAGCTTTCTCAATGCAGCTGTTGAAGCTTTTGAGCATTAGTTTGTAAACTTACTGTCAAATGCGTAGCTATAGAGCATTGCCATTACTGTGTGCTAATGTATTTTGCATTCATGTTATCAGGAAATCCCCTCTTCTGGAAAGCCGCTTTTGGTGCTGCTTTATGACCTTTATATGTTGTGGTTTAGGTTGTGTGCTTTAACAGAACAATCACTAGTGTGGCAATAAGCTCTCAGGACTTAAATGAAAAGGTAGTAACAAATTCATTTAAATGCAGAAGAGTTAAGGCCTCATTAGAGCAATGTAGATTCCTTAAACAGAATAGTGCGGTCTGATTTAAAAGTTCTCTTTGAAGGTTCTTGGGACAACATTAGACAAAGTCCATATTTAGGTACCTAAATAGTCTGATTTTTTCCCCCCTCCCCCTCCCAAAAGATGTTGAGCACCCAACAGGCCCCATTAGAGCCTAAATAAAGATTTAGGAACTTACCTTTAAACATGCTTTTTAAAAAAATCTTGTCCTAAATCTTTAAGGTAGAAAAGGTGTTTTGGATTAAGAAAAGATGGAGTCAGGAGACCTGGCATTTCCTGGCTCTGCTGCAAACTTCCTGTGTTTGAACAAGTCGCTTTTCTATATCTGTCTAATAGGAATGCCCGCCCGCCTCTCCCTCACAATTTATGAAGCACTGTGAGCTTTTGTAGTAGATAGCATTGCAAGTGTGAAGTCATGTAGGCCTGTAGTCATGCTGAACAACCACTGCCTTCCTCCAGCAAACTTTGAAATCTGTTACTGTTTTCCAATACTGTAGTTTGTCAGTTTATGAAAAGTATGTGACATTAAACCCGATATAATATTATATATGATAGTGGTTCTTTAAATACTCGCCTCAGTGTCTGTCCCTTTAAGTACATCAAGCATAGGATGACTCACACCGAAGTCCCTGCCTTGTCTAATTAAAGGCTTGGGTTTTAAAACTGCAGTTTTACTGTGAGTATGGTGTATACTTGCACCAGGTGACCTCTACTCCTGCAAATGAAAAAGCTGGCAAACATACTTAACTTCTGAGCCTGTCAGAACTAGTCAGAAGTTTCTGGTGTCTTGATTATGTTAATGTCCTAATGCCTGCTCAGACTTCACATTTTAATGCTGTCTGCTCTGGAAAGGACTGAGCTCGATCATTTTTTTAAATATTCGTTCTTAAGAGAGGGACCTTATCAAAGATATAACTCTGCTCCCTTATCTTTAGTTCTGTTATGACTAAATGTAGTACCTCCTAATCTTGAATATTTTACGTAATTCAAAGTCTCTTGATGCATAGATTAATTTTATGTACTGCGAAATCTAGTTGACTTCCTGCGCTTACCTTCACTGGCAGAGTAGGATAGACTGCTCTCTAATTGAATTGACGGCCAAGTAAGCCATATTTGGATTGCTTTGTAGTTAAGAATTGGTGAAGTGTAACTTACAACTTTGCCCTCTTGTTATGACACTGAATATCTCAACAAGGCATTTCAGTTATAACACTCTAAGTTTGTCATTTGGCATCAACCAAAAATAGAATTATTCAAGCTTCTATAAATTTTAGTTTTTGCACCTGAGGGTGTTCAGAATTGCAATTGCCACATGCAAGGGTTGGTATTGTCTTGAATTTGAAAGAGAGTCTGTTCAGGAGAAGAAATACTAGACAGAATTGCAGTGTGGAGCACTATTCAGCACTTCCTAAACAAGGTGTGCTTATCCAGGGTGGTCTTTGGCAAGAAGGCTTATTCCAATGTTTTAGATTCATCCATTCATTATGGTTTTACCTTTCCGTCTATTGCTACTTGCTATGCTCAACAGCTAGCAGGGCCTGTAGAAATGGGAGCTGACTTCATTGTGCAGTTTAAATGAACTTCTCTCAGTTGACCTGTATGTACCCAGGCAGCTATATACAGACTACTCAGGAATAGCAAAAAATATTAAATGCAATATTTTATGCTGAAGTTGAGTCTGAGGTTTCTACAGTGATTACCCAAATGAACAGCCCTAATAAAAATGTGACAATCCTAAACTTTAAAATAGTTCTTTTTAACTATTACAAATTAGACTGGCCCTGCTTTTTTACATGATTGAATATTAATCTCCATTAGTATCAAGCTCACTAAACTTCTTTACATACAGTTGCATACAGAATTTATAAAAGTCGGTGACTAAAGCTTTTATACCAAGTATGTTTGGTTTCAGTAACTGGACTTCAGAATGCAAACTGCTGTGACCAAGTATGCCATCTGTGAAAAACACTGATGAGTTCATTTTGTTTTTTAGGGGGAATCTGTAAAATATTTCCTGGACAACTTGGATAAACTTGGAGAATCGGTAAGTTTAATTTAGTTGGGAAGTTTAAATCAAGTTAGTCTTGGATATCATTAGGGATTTTGTAGATTCAGTTTAAATATGTAACTTGTATGTGGTAATTGGGGAGTAGTGCTTTCATCTTGTTTTAGTAATTTACATGACCTACAGGTTGACTGGTAAAATATCCAAACATGAGTGGCTGTGGGTATGGATAGGGCCGTACCAAATTCACAGTCCATTTTGGCCAACTTCATGATTGTAAGATTTTAAAAATCCTAAATTTCATGTTTTCAGGTATTTAATTCAAAAATTTCATGGTGTTGTAATTATAGCGGTCCTAATCCAAAAAGGAGTTGGGGGGGGGGAGTGGAGGAGGGCAGTGCTACTGTAGGAGGGGTTGCGGTACTGCTACCCTCACTTCTGTGCTGCTGCTGCTGCTGGCGTCGCTGCCTTCATAGCTGGGCAGCTGGAGAGCGGCGGAGGCTGGCTGGAAGCCCAGCTCCAAAGGCAGAGCTGCTGCTGCCTGAAGACCTGGGCCTTCAGTCAGCAGTGGCCACTCTCTGGCCACCCAGCTCTGAAGGCAGCAGCACAGAAGTAAGGGTGCCATGGTATGGTATTGCCACCCTTACTTCTGTGCTGCTGCTGGCAAGGTGCTGCCTTCAAAGCTGGGCGGCCAAAGAGCAGCAGCTGTTGGCCAGACATCCAGCTCTGAAGGCAGCACCCCGCCAGCAGCAGCACAGAAGTAAGAGTGGCAATACCGCGACACCCCTAAAATAACCTTGCCCCACACACACACACAACTCCCTTTTTGGTCAGGACCCCCAATTTGAGAAACACTGGTCTCCTCTGTGAAATCTGTATAGTATAGGGTAAAAGCACACACAAGACCAGATTTCACGATCCGTGACACGTTTTTCATGGCTGTGAATTTGATAGGGCCCTAGGTATGGAGTAGAATAGGGTGATTGTCCTGTCTGGTAAAACCCTCAGAAAACAGTATGATAGTAGCCAGGAGAAGTCTGTGGATACAAATTGCAGAGTCAAGCAACCACCACGGAACTCTACAGAATATATGAAGTCAGTAATTTTTCCATAGAAAGCACATGGTGCTGCTGTGTTCTGAAAATGTCTGCGGAAATAGCACTGTTTCCATATTTGTTGTATTTAATTTGAAAATCAGATGTGCTCTTTTTACAAATAAAAAATATGGCTTTTTCTAACAAACTCCCACTGGGATCTAAAAGTCAAGCTGGATTTACTGGGTTCACATATCACTTTCAATAAAGATTCCGACGTTAGCTACTCTCTAACTGTTCTGATGCATGAGCCATGTTTAAATCCAGCTCAGCTTCTTCTAACACTACTAATAGGATTCAGAAGTGGGAAGCTTATTTCTATGCACACCCGGAGCAGATCTGTTAAATAGGGTGGTTTTATTTTTAGTCATTCTTATGACCATAAATGTACATTAAAGAAAAAAAAATTAATTTGCTCTTTACAAAGTGGTTATCCAGATTGTGTATTTTGGTGTCCTGAATTTGCTAGTAACACTGTACGTCCATTGATCTGGATGGCTCTGGGATAGTACAGATCTAATTATTGATACTCAAAGATGCCTCTTGCTAGAAAACTGTGCGTACATGTAAGAAACCTCTAGAACAAGAAATTGTGACTGTACAGATCATGGTTACATTTTATAATGTGCCTGGCATATAACACTGTTAATATAAATTTAACATGGGATGGGAATCTTTGTGTCTGCTTTGGAAAATGTTTCAGCATTCCATTTTCCATGGGATTGTATTGCCTCCTAATAATGACAGCCATTTTGATTGTAATTTTTGTCTCATGAGCTTGTGTGTATATTCAGTTTGTATATTCATGTCCAGTGGCCTTGTTTTGCAGAACTTATGCATGAAAATTGGCCTTACAATGGGAAGCTAACATCAAACCTAACTGGGGAGACACTGCATCTCTGTTATATTCCCAGCCATAGGTGCCAACTCTGGGGATGCTCTGGCGTTGGAGTGCACACATGCCCCGGGGGGGGAAAGGGTCCTCAGCACCCACCAGCCACAGCTGTTCGGCATCTCGGGGAGAGGTTAGGGGGAGGGCAGAGAGCCACGGGCAGGCTCAGAACTCTGGAAGGGGGTGGACTGGGGGCAGGAAGAGGCAGAGCGAGGGCAGGGCGTTAGAGGGAGGTGAGGAGCGAGGGCGGGCCTTGGTGCAGCACCCACCGGGAAAAATAAAGTCAGCACCTATGTTCCCAACAAATGCTTTGAAGCCTAATAATACCCGATACTTAAGAACATAAGAACGGCCATACTGGGTCAGACCAATGGTTCATCTAGTCCAGTATCCTGTCTTCCAATAGTGGCCAGTGTCAGGTGCTTCAGAAGGAATGAACAGAACAGGCAATCACTGAGTGATCCATCCCCTGTTGTCTGCTCCCAGCTCCTGACAGTCAGAGGCTAGGGACACCCAGAGCATGGGGTTACATCCCTGACCATCTCGACTAATGGCCATTGACGGTCCTATCCTCCATGAACTTATCTAATTCCTTTTTTGAACCCTGTGATAGTCTTGGCCTTCACAACATCCCCTAGCAACAAGTTCCACCAGTTGACTTTGCATTGTGTGTGAAGAAGTACTTCCTTTTTGTTTGTTTTTAAACCTGCTGCCTATTGATTTCATTGGGTGACCCCAGGTTCTTGTGTTGTGATAGAGTAAATAACACTTCCCTGTTCACTTCCTCCACACTGTTCATGATTGTATAGACCTCTATCATTTCCCCTTCTTTAGTCTCTCTCTGAAGCTGAACCAGTCCCAGTCTTTTTAATTTCTCCTCATACAGAAGCTGTTCCATACCTCAGTCATTTTTGTTGCCTTTCTCTGTACCTTTTACAATTCAAATATATTTTTTTCAGATGGGGTGATCAGAACAGCATGCACCTAATTCTTTCTTTTCTTTTTTGCAATGATTTTGAATGAGGAGAGTCTAAGCTATCATCTAAACTTAAACTATATGTGGAACCAAAACAAAACCTTTCCTAACTTGATTATCAGGTTAGAGCTCACATCACTTACCGAGTCTCATTTAGAAGTTCCAACCTCAGTGCTGCTTGTTTGCCTTTTGCCTTATGGCATCTGTCTGAAGCAATAAAAGGAGTACTAATTGTTTGTCTCTAGTAGCCACCCAGGTGGCTTTTTTAACTTTGTTCAGATTTTTCACACCCATTGTTTTATGCCTGTCCACACATTAAATTTAAAACAATCATTTTGAGGGCTGCTTCTGTTTTGCAGCCACCTTAAAGTTCTTAATCAGAACTATAAAAAGGAATGATAGCAATATAAGAAATTCCAGTTAACTGTGCCTTAGAGTCTCTAGCTATAAATACAATAAATAACTTCATTTCTTTAGAAATTGCACCTTGAACTAAAATGATTTTAGTCACTTATTAGAATGGTGACTTTTAAAGTTGGATAATAGTATTTAATTGTAAATCACAAATGTTAAGAGGTGTAGCTTTCTTCAAAATCATTATCTTTTGACAGAAATGACTAGATATATTCAGGCAAAAGCAAGGTAATTTTGTTATGAAAGTGTAAATATAGCTTTGGGTAGGTTCTCTTGGTTTATTCTTTCCCATTTGTGTATTAGAGCACAGCTTTTTGCTGGAGGTTAGATTATTTTTGTACTTTGGAACTGTAGCAGTTTATGGGTAGAAGCACTCACTACTCCTGTCTCATGCAAACAGACCGATGCTATGAAGTTACATTGTTAACGAACAGATATGAATGACTATGGTCTTTTCTCCTTTAACATAAGGAAGCTAGAGAGATCAGCATGTCTAAAACCTGCTCGTTCAGATTGTTTGACCAGGTCAACAGAATAAGGAAATCTCTTCTTGTTTACATACATGATTATAACCAGGCATGTTGATTTCAAAGCTGAATTGTAATTTTCTCTGTTTTTCCGTATCTTTCTCACTATTGGTCAAGTAGAATATTAATTGTAAACATTTGATATAGGACCTTAGCTTTGCATAGCATGTTAGATTATGGCTATGGTCATAGTTCTCATCAAGCTGCTACGTGTGTGTACATGAGCAAGTATAAATAGCAGCGTAGCCAGGTAGCACAGGCAACAACAACAGAGGAACAGCCAAGCCGGGCAGGTACATACTCAGCACAGCTCAGTCGTCTCTCTGCTTCCTGTGTTACCCCAGCTATACTGCTATTTGTATTCGTTCTAGCTCTCATTGATCTATCACGAGCATGTGTGCATGAGTAGGGGAATCATATCCCTACCTCAGCGTGGACATATCCTCAGAGACATGGTCCCTGCCTTGAACAGATTCCAATCCAGATTAGGCAGACACAGTGAGTCACACTAGCAAGTGACACATTCTGATATTTCTAAGTAGGTTGGGAGAGCAGACAGTTCAGGAGTGGAAGTAGAGGGTGGAAAATAAGGCCAAAGTAGTGGGTTTTGAGGAGGCCTTTGGAGGAGTTGGAGTTTGGCTCCTTGGAATGAGAATGTTACAGACAAAACAAGCAAGGTCGGAATAGGTAAGTGTGGGAGAGCAAGAGAAAAGGAAATGGCAAAGCTGAGAAAGGGGGCGGAGTCCTAAGGACAAGGTTGAGAGTGAGACTAGGTGAGATGCAGGCTGAGGAGATGATTTTTAGCTCATGGACATGGGATGTTTCAGGGAGGCCAGTGATGGAGTGTCATTTGTACTGGCTAAAAGAACAATAGCGTGATCCAGAACGTTGGCAGTGAGGATTGAAAGGAGGGGATGACTTAAGAAATTGTACAGGAGCAAGAAGGCCTCAGAAGTCTAAATGTGAAATAGAAAGGAAGGAATTGGTGCCCTGTGGTTGCATGTATGACAGGGAAGAGTGGATCAAACTGTGAGGATGGAGAAAGGAATTGGAAGGAGGTGAAATTCAGCTTTTTTCCTATGCTTAGGCATTGGGAAACCTATGAGGAGATGGGAATTGATGGAATCTTCTCAGTTGGTGCCTTCAACTATGCACAGACTACTTTACAGACTGTGTACAGTTTGATTAAATGTAGCCAATTGTGAAGTAAAATGTGGTGGCTTTTATATGCCAGTAACACTAAACAGTCTTTAAGAGGGGAAGTGAAACACTTTTTTTTTAATTGAAATTTAAGCTGAACGTTAATGCCCAGTTGTGAGCTTAACCCAGGTGTCCTGGTCACTGATGGTGCTCTTGCAGGCATATGTATCTTGGGAGCTCTAAAAGGAGGTCAGGGTCTTGCATTTTATCTGCTGGAAAGGAATTGTAGAAATATGCTTTATGCCCTGTTTTGTGTATTTGAAATGTGTGTTTAAAAAGTCTGCTTGTCTTTTACCTTAGAAATATCAGGAATATCTGGTTTTCCCTGGCTTTGATGGAGGACTTCTTTGAGAGGGAGTTGATCTCAGGAATGTGTTTGATCTTTTGCTCCTTCACAGAAAGGGTGGTGGTGGTGGTCACTCTGCAGCAATGACAGCCGCTCTCCCAAATGTTCATTAGGCACTGCAGTTAAGTGTGTGTGTTTTATTTAAAAAAAAAAAAAAAAAGGGCATTTTAAAATCTATCTAAAAATCCTTTCTCAGTTTCTTAGTTTTCAGTCTCTGTGATATAATTTCTCAGATTTTCCCGTGTTAGTCTTTTCCTGGCAGCCAATTGAATGTTGTAAAGCAAGCAGGAAAACTTAGTAACCTTTCAGGCTGCTTTTATCCATGAGAAAGGCAAAAAAGGGCAAAAGCCCAGCTTTTTCTTCCGTGGGTCACTTTTAAGGCAGTAGGTGGAGTTCTAAAGGCTTCAGCTTTCCTTCTGAGAAACTAGGTCATGCCGTCATGGATGTATGTCAGTACCTAAAGATGAGAGCAAAGAGGGGAGCCTTGAGGTGGATCAGAAAGTTTCTTGGTAACTGGTTTTTATCAGAATCACCCAAACATCTCAGTTGTGGCCAGCTTGAATAAAAGAATCAGGAGTTTAGAGAAAACGGTTGCTGTTCCCTCATTAGTTTCACTTTCTGATTTTCATGCATTAAAACAAAGTGCTCCTTAAAATCTTCAAACCCATTTTTAACCTCCTAATTTGTAATTTTTTTACCAATGCTTTTGTTTTAAGCTTAAACCCTTTTAAAATTTCATTTTAACAAATGTCTATTAAAATAGAATCCCATAATTCCCTGTCTGTAAAAGCTTGCAGTGATCTATCTTCTCGTTAATTGTTTTTAAACAGTTTGTCTGAAATTTTATAACAATCCCTTATTGAAAAGAATTAAACATTCAGGTTTTGTATAGCTTTAATTTAAAGCAAAACAGGCATATTCGGGCATTTCAAAATCTAAACTGTACTACTGTTAAATTCTAGTTTTGTTTATTTAACTGTTTATCCAGGGTTTTCTTTCTATCCCCAGTAGAAGTTGGTTGAATCAGAGTTCTCTTGACATTGCTTCACAAGTTTTTCCAAAGGTCTCATGTTGAGCAGTGAGCCCTTCATTGACTAGGATTATTAGGAAAAGCTCTTTGAATAGATTAAGTGAAGAGAGACTTGCTTTTAAACTTCTCTAGGTTTCAAACATAGCTTGTTTTCCAAAATTGCCATGAATACCAAAGCATGACATGTCTGAACAGTGAAGTATAACAAAGGATTTATATATACCTGGAGAACAAAGCTGTGCACATAAAATTTAGCAAACTGGCTGCTCAGAGGTAAATGCACAAATCAGCAAAATGACTCCTGTGAAAATGGAGAAGCCAAAAATGCATTAGGGATCAGGTCCCACAACTTTGGCCTCTTGGATTGATCTGTTTAAATTCCTACACTTTGGAAACACAACTCTTCCTTGCACTGAGTATTTTCATTCCATTGGATGTCGCTACTCATAGTGGAACGCCTAGAAACTTTCTCATGCTGCCTGTTACCCATGAGGGAGAAAGGCAACAGGTTGCTGTGCAGGCATCAAGGAGTTCCTTGTGTTTGGATTCTTTGTGATGGCATCTATGGATTCCATAAAAACTTAGGTAGTCTCAATACCTTGTCAAACAGTGGTTCTGTTCTTTAATTATGAATCATGAGCAATATGCCAAAGAGGGGGAAGCTAGTGAATGAGTGCTTACTGTTAGAATTGGTAGAATCATTCGAATGCAGCCCTCTGGGGTAAAGGGTGGCAGCCAACAAATGCATATTGTATAACAGATGGGGGAAGGAGACTTGTTACAGGAATCTGTAGTGAGGGAATAAAAGCAGCTGGTGGCACGAGAAACGGGTAATGCTCCTTCCAATATTGTTTACCAAGGTCACTTGATATGTAGCAGAGGGAAAGTTTCAGTTCTCTAAAGCAGTGTTTCTCAACCTTTTTGATACCAAGGACCAGTTTGCTGCCGCCTTAAACTGTATCAGGGAGAACTCAGGGACTGATGCCAGTCCACAGACCGGTCGTTGAGAAACACTGCTCTAGAGGGATTCTCATTTTAGGATTGGGTGTGTTAATCCCAGCTTTAGCGACTGAGATCTTTTTAAAATGGAATAATGCATGAAGACTCGGTTCAAAAATAACTTTCCTTCAAGCTTTTCTAGGTCAGAAGTCTGCTAAAGCCACTATGCTCATTATTGTTCCCTAACTGGCAAACTTTGCTTTATTTTTTAGGATTATCTTCCATCGCAGCAAGATATTCTGCTGGCACGAAGACCCACGAAAGGGATTCATGAGTACGACTTCGAAATTAAAAATGTTCCCTTCAAGATGGTTGATGTAGGCGGCCAAAGATCAGAAAGGAAACGTTGGTTCGAGTGCTTCGACAGTGTCACATCGATACTTTTCCTGGTCTCCTCAAGTGAATTCGACCAGGTGCTCATGGAGGATCGGCTAACAAATCGCCTTACAGAATCACTGAACATTTTTGAAACAATAGTCAACAACCGGGTTTTCAGCAACGTCTCCATCATTCTATTTCTAAATAAGACAGACTTGCTTGAGGAAAAAGTACAAAAAGTGAGCATCAAAAACTATTTCCCAGAGTTCGAAGGGGATCCCCACTGCTTAACAGACGTCCAAAAATTCCTGGTGGATTGTTTTCGTACCAAACGCCGGGACCAACAGCAGAAGCCCCTATACCACCACTTCACCACTGCTATTAACACAGAAAACATCCGGCTGGTTTTCCGTGACGTCAAGGATACCATTCTTCACGACAACCTCAAGCAGCTTATGCTACAGTGATGTGCAAAAAGACATTTTTATTTGAATACCTTTTGTGTTTTTAAATTGTGGTTTACAACAGGAATAGAAAAATCCAGGTCCTGTCAGACTTCTTGATGTGTGGCTGAAAGCTGCTGCTGAGCACATTATTGCCAATTTCTGCTGAAATTGAGGCTTTAATCTCTTCCACTGTAGCTTTGAGTTGACTCAGTTATTTTATAGCAAACCTAAGTCCAAATAACCTGTAAGGTGACTAAACTTGACCTCCAGTGCTTGTATGTTGCAAAAAGTATATCTAGAAAATGCACTCCACCGTCAAAATTCCAAGTCCAGATTTCAGTGTAACATTCATCGGAATTACATTAGACTTGTAGTAGTAGTTTTGGAAAACTGTTCCTTTTCACCTCTTCCTTAAAACTATAATGAAGACTGTGATAATATAGCTGACTTTGATTTCTCAGGTCCTTCGTTGGTTAGATATTCCATAAATTTCTTGTTGGAGTCATTTAGAAACTAGGATAATGGTAATAAAGCCTTTCCTGCCTTAAATATAAAGTTTTGCATGGGTTTTTGAGTGTAGGGTATGCTTTAGGTCAGGAAATACAGTAAAGTTGGGAACTGTCAGCATTAATACCTTCTGCCAGAAATGTGTAAAGACTAATATGATCAAGAACTAGTAAATGGCACAGTTCACTCTAAACTTCATTTTCTGTTGCATATTTTAAGTACTCTGCTTGTTAGAGCTATAACAAAGCACAGAGCACTATGATCTGAAATGTTGATATGTGGGAAGGAGAAGCAAACGGAGCTTTAGAATCTGTATTCTCACTTTGTCATGATGCTGAATAGCTTACATCCAGGTACCTTGCCCCAGAGTTTAGGCCGATTTGAAATGCTTTTGTATCTTTTCACCATAACTTTTACAGTGTGCCTAGTCCTACATCAACAAGCATTCACTAACGCACAGAAGTATTTGCAAACATAAGTGCCTCCTGTCTTCTGTCCTTCTGCAGTGTTTTCAGTGGCCTTACATGAAGACAAATTCCCCAGACAGTGGCCTTATGCAGATATGGGTAGATAGGCCGAACACCACTAGGCCAAAAGTCTGTACAGAAAGATGAGCATAACATGTCACAATAGTAAATGCTAAAGTCTGAAAACTTCAGAGAATCTGTCAGAATCAGGTCTAGAAATCCTGAAGAATCATAAGAATGGCCATACTGGGTCAGACCAATTGTCCATCTAGCCCAGTATCCAGTCTTTTGGCAGTGGCCAGTACCAGATGCTTCAGAGGAAATAAACTGAACAGGGCAATTTATTGAGCGATTCATCCACTGTTGTCCAGTCCTAGCTTCTGGCAGTCAGAGGTTTAGGAACATCCCTGATAGTCTTGACTAATAGCCACTGATGGACCTATACTCCAGGAACTTACCCAGTTCTTTTTTTAATGCAGTTATACTTTTGGCCTTCACAACATCCAGTGGCAACAAGTTCTACAGGTTGACTGGGTGGTGTGAAGAAGTACTTCCTTATGTTTGTTTAAAACCTGCTGCCTGTAATTTCATTGGGTGACGCCTGGTTCTTGTGTTGTGTAAATAACACTTCCCTGTTCACTTTCTCCACCTTGTTCATGATTTTATAGAGCTCTATTATTCCCTCCCTCCACTCCATTGTCTCCTTTTGAAGCTGAACAGTCTGTCTTTAATCTCTCCTCATATGGAAGCTGTTCCATACCCCAGTCATTTTTGTTGCCCTTCTTTGTACTTTTTCCAACTCTAATCTTTTTGGAGATGAGACGACCAGAATGGACATACTATTCAAGATGTGGTCGTATCATGGATTTATGTAGTGGCATTATGATATTTTCTGTCTTCTGTCCCTTTCCTACTGGTTTGACTACCACTGCACATTGAGCTGATGTTTTCAGAAAACTACCCACAGTGACTCCAAGATCTTTCATGAGTGGTAACAGTTAATGTAGAACCTCTCATTTTGTGTATATTTGTCATTGTTTTCCAGTGTCCATTACTTTGCATCTGCCATTTTGTTGGACAATCACCCAGTTTTGAGATCCCTTTATAACTCTTAGGCTTGGTCTACACTTACCCCCCAAGTCGAAGTAAGGTACGCAAATTCAGCTACGTGAATAACGTAGCTGAATTCGACATACCTTACTTCGAACTTACCGCGGTTCAGACGCGGTCCACACGCGGCAGGCAGGCTCCCCGTCGACTCCACGGTACTCCTCTCGTTGAGCTGGAGTACCGCAGTCGACGGCGAGCACTTCCTGGTTCGATTTATCGCGTCCAGACCAGACGCGATAAATCGAACCAGGAAGTTTGATTTCCAGCCGCCGAGCTAGCGGCTAAGTATAGACCAGCCCTTAGTTAAGTCCAAAGCTGACTGCTATCTTGAGTAATTTTGTATTATCTTAGCAGTCAGCTTTGGACTTAATTATCTTGAATAATTTTGTATCGTCTGCAAATTGTCACCTCTCTGTTTACCCCTTTTTCCAGATTACTTGAATATATTGAACTTGAGGTCCCCTTGAGGGACCCTGCTATTTACCTCTCTCCACTCTGAAAACTGAACATTTATTCCTACCCTTTTTCCTGATCCATGAGAGGAGCTTCCATCTTATCCCAAAGTATGACAGCTTACTTTGCTTAAGAGCCTTTGGTGTGGGACCTTGTCAAAGACTTTCTAAAAGTCCAAGTATACTGTATCTCTGCAACAGCCTTGTCTTCCTTGAATGTGCCTTTAGCACCTCGATTGTACAGTGCCCCCTCCTGATTGTTTGGCAGGCTTCCTGCTTCTGATGTACTGAAAAAATGTTTGCTGTTAGTTTCTTTTGCTAGGTGCTCTTTAAATTCTTTTTTGGCCTGCCTAGTTATACTGGTACACTAGACTTGCCAACGTTAGTATTCCTTTCTATTGTCCTCAGTAGTATTTGACTTCCAATTTTTAAAGGATGCCTTTTTGTCTAACTGCCTTTCTTATTTTGTTTAGCCATGATGGCATTTTTTGATCCTCTTATTATTTTTTTTATCGTAAGAATACTTGAGCCAAACATGCTACAGAGGGTTTTCTAGAGGTGCCATTTGTCATCAGCTATATTCTGCCCAAAGTTCCATTACAACTAACTCTTGTGGAGTTTCACTTTGGTTGCAGGGCAAAATATACTCTTGGCTGGAACTTTGTATGCCAAGGAGCATGTTATGAAATAAAATTAAGCTTGGCCAATTGGTGTCCAGGTCACTACTGCACAAATCAAGTAGTTCTGTTTACCCCTGCCAGTGTTCTGTTTTGCTACTTGCCCCATAGAACAGGTCAATTCTTGTGGCGGGAGAGCAATTTCTTAAGGTGGGTTTTGTCATAGATGCACTGCATGTGTGGCAATAGTTTGACATGTTCTAATAGCTTAAAACAGTCTGCATTGAAGATGGGATCATTTTGGAAGGAGTGGGGGAAGCTTGGGCTCTATTCCCAACTCTGCCTCTGACTTCCTGTGACTGTCATTTAAACTTCTCTGTACCTCATTCTCTCATCAGTAAAATGGGAATAGTGCTTACCCACCACTGTAATGTGCTTAGAAATCTGTGGATGCAGTGCTATAGAAATGCAAAATGCTCTTATTATGCCAAGGAGTTCTGTCAATCTAAACCAAAATCAATTTTTTTAATAAGTGAAAACACTGAAATTTCACATCACAGGATCTGTTTGTTAAAATTGATACCCATGCAGGAATAGCTCCTGTCTCTCAGTGGTGTCAGGCACCCTCAAGTCCAGCTGAAGTCAATGGGAGGTGAATGTTAAGGATAAAGTGAAGTCCAAGGGCTTGATTAAGTAAATGCTTCTGAAGAGTCCCTAACAGTGAGTAAATCTACTTTTCAAAATGCTTCCATACGCCTTGGACTAATCCAAAATACATGTTACTTTGTTTTGGTTAAGTGTCATGTCTGTTGTTTTCTTAACTAGAATTCTAGCCACCCCTCTCCTTGGATCACTCAGCCTTAAACTTTGACATCAAGACAGGGTAGGAAATTTAGTGTGTGAAACTTCTCTCCATCTGAAACATACTCAGACTAATTCCATCTAAGACAATTACATTGATGTAAATCATTGATGGTATTCCCCCCCACACACACACCCTTCCCCCCCCCCCCACCCGAAAACTAACCTTGAAACATATATTTGTTCCTATGTGACAGACGAGCTCAAAACTACACTGTGGGCATTTTCATCTTCTTTGTACCTATTACTTGCAGACACACTGAAAGAAAGCACCGGTTAGGCTGCTTTATTTCTTTTGGGATTTGTTACTGGATGTCGTGGTTTTTTTTTGTTTGGTTTTTTTTGGTTTTTTTTGGGAAATGTATAATTTGGATGCAAGGTGTAGTAACGTAATATTGCTGAACCGAGACTGTCCATATACTGAAGCAAAAGCAAATGTGTGATCAAAATCAAACTAATAAAAGTGAAGATTTGAGTGTAAACCAGTAAGTATGGTACAAAGTCAGGACTTAAATTTCCAGTAGAGGTGGGAATGCAGGAAAAATCCTAAGGCTTTAATAATAATAAAAAAGCTACTTTTAACAGGACTAATTTTCCAAGGATCATTGGCTAGACACTGCTGCACTGAATGATCAGTAACTGCATTGAGCTACGATTTCTATATAGCCCTATCTTGTACAGTCTGTACTTGAAGGTGAAAATGGCATTTTAGCAAATGTTCCTTGTTGCATTGTTTAAATTTGTTTGGTACCTGAAAATAAATGGTGGCTGTTCACCAGGTCTTGAAAAAATCCACTTTCCAATGGAGTAGGTCCCCACGTTTCCCAGGTGGAATAAGCCATCAGTTCCTGATGAATGTAAGCTCTCATTTTAAAAACAAAATTCTGGCCCCTAGAGAGAAAATTCTGGCCCCTCTCATCTTTCCAGAGAGGCCTCTGGCTAATAGGCTTAGTCCTTTGGCTAATAAGTGTCTGGTAAAGGGATTTTAATCCTGCCATCTAGGATTCTAGCAAACCTAAAATGCTTCAAGCATGTCTGTAGTATTCCTGACTCTTGGCTAATACTGAGTCAGTATTTTGAACTCCACTTAACTTCAGCAGAAACTTTTAACTAATAGGCTTTTATTCCATCCTGCTGCTAATGTATGTAAAACTTTAATTTAAAAAAAAAACAAAAAACAAAAAAAACACACACCTGATAGTTCTGAAGACAGCACTGTTTGGGATATGGCCCTCTGAGTTTATAAGCAAGTTGCCACTTAAAGGGGTGCACAACTATCGCAGTCTTCAACTTTCCTGCTGGTTGCCAAGCTAGTCAAGAATCTCTAGGCATTATCTTTAAAGATGGTTGCAGAAGTTGTTTTCCAACGGCAGCATTTCCTGTTTCAGAATAATCAGTGTTTCGTGCTAAAATAGTCACAATATGACTTTTCGGGTCTTTCTGTATTTGATGGTACCATGATGTAGATTAATCTAAGGGTTTTTTTAAATTACACAGCATTGCAATACAGTGCCATTTGCAATTTCTTTGCCTTGAACTTGAAAAATAATTGAATTGCAGAATATTTAAAACTGCTTTCCTGCGCTTTCAATAGCAGTGAGAGCTTACCTTCCGTGAAGCCTTATGAAAAATATTTTGTAACAACCTCATAGATACTTTATCTAACAATCAAGATTTGTATTCGCTTTGTATAAATGTTTGTGGCTTACAGTTTTTATATGTGTATCTTTTATAACTTTCCAGGGGCTAACAGCATCTTTATATTGTACATTGCTCTCCTTGCTTTAGTTCAGAATTGGCAATAAATTATTTCTAAAGAAGGTCTTAAAGAAAAAAGCATCACTTGCTTTTATAAAATGGTTTAATTACTAATAGATTAAAGCCTCTTACATTCAGTTGTACATTGCTCTGTACATACTCTGCAAGCGTTGCCTTTCAGCTATTAATATTTGCCTTGTGTTTAAAAAAAAAATTACTGACGATAAATAAACATATACAGCCTCATTTGGGTGCTATGAATTTTTTACCTTCAGTACTTAATCATATTATAATAAAAGGTAAGGGGGTTTGTTTAAGGCTTAAGAACAGCAAAGTTTGACTCTGCCACTGATTAAAAAAATTCACTAATGTATTTTGAATTCAAACTTCTGTAGCAAGGACATTGTAATGATTTCTGGGCTTGCACAAACTCTGTGCTGACGGGCATCCTTCCAAAGCTCTAGGTGCCCTTGACATCCTTTCAGCATAGGAGATACAATGTAA